ATAAACTAAAGGGGGGTAATGGTGGGGACAGGGGTAGGGTGGAGGGGAATGAAGGGGGGGAATAAAACAACTGTAATGGCATAATCAATAAAAAATAGACTAAAGATCACAACACAGTCAGGATAGAGGCCTCTACTTGATGTCTGATGAGAGGCTGACACCCTTCAAACGCCTGAATGCTGTAAACCACTGGATTTTTGTTGTCCTGTTCTCCTCTGGCCTCAAGCTTCTACTCCCCCTGAACTCTTGTTCTCTCTCCTGTTTCACTGCACCTGCTGTTGTTCTTTTTTCTCAACTCCATTTCCATCCACAAATGGGACACCAGCTCATTTACAGAGCCACCATACCCAACAAACTTGCTTAAAAACGAAAAAACCTGACACCCAATATGTGTGTGTGCATGCAGCCAACTTTCCCAGAGGTTTCGGAGTTACACGGTGGTGTTACAAAGAATTAAACAATGAAATGTTAGCTGGACTACTTCCTTACCTCTTTTTTGGACTTCAACTAAAATATCCATTATTCGACTATATCCCTCATGTATGTTTTAGTCCTGGTTCTCAGCCTCTGCCCTCTGTAGCCTGGATTATTTCAGTCCTGTTGCATTTGATTTCCCTGGGTCTACTTTTGCTTTCAATGTAGCTATTTACAACACAGCAGTCAGAATGATTCTTTTTAAAAAATTAACTTATTGGGGTAACATGTAAGATTATACAAATTTATATAAAAACACACAATTTACCTAAGTCTCAAGTGTGCAATTCTCTAATGCATAATCAACATAGTGCAGTGATTTTCAACTGGTATGCCACAAAACCTTTTAAAACATGCAGCACCTGACTGTTTAGTTAGGGGTACTGACCTCTTTTTCCTTAAGACTGCCAAACAAAAAAATGCCAACAGCCAACACAACAATAGCTGTTCAGTGTGCATGAATCAAATTATCCTTTCTTTAGTCAGATTGGCAAAAACTATATTTTTTGGTGTGCTGCAGAATTTTAGTAATTATTTATGTGTGCCATAAGATGGAAAAGATTGAAAATTGTTGGTACAGGGCATTGTATTTTCACCATCTAAAGTCTAGTCTCCTTTCATCATCATATATTTGACCCATTGTGTGTAAGAGTAAAATGCTTTCAAGGAAGTCGTGCAAGCATGATCCTTCTTTATGTGGCATACGTTTCCATGGATCAGGCGGCTGGGGCTTTTCCAAGAGCGCTGGGAAGTCCTGGGCAGTTTGATTTCTGCATGCTTCCACATAAAGAGAATAACTGCTAGTGTGTCAAAGTGGGGATGTCTACTGTGCTGAATCACCGGGTGTGACAAAGGTGCACAGGTACAGGTTGCATTGCAATATTCTGTACCCTATGGGGCCTGGCCATGTGGGCAGTAAAGCGTGGTTTGGGAAGGCAAAACACAATTTGAAAAGTGTGGAGCCTGAGACTTGTCTGGAAAATTCTATGATCCTTAAGCGATTCTCCTTGTTCTTGTCCCAGCCTAAAAGTATTGTACTAGTATTCCAATGCTACACAATGGGGTACCATGCCCATTCTGCATGTCAGAAACTGTTGTAGACGATCGGCGGGTAAATACACACTCTCAGAGTCCGGAACCGAATTGATAAAAATTTTAATGGCCAAAGATTTTCCTGCGCAGGGGCGAACTTCCCCAACTGTGACCAGAGTCACATAGCTACTCAGAGCTACAAAATGGAAGTCGCGCCTGGCTTACAGACTACTGGGTATTTATATTTTCTAGCAAGCAAGCAAAGGCATACAGAAGCAGAGGTGGCGGTTAGCTATTGGCTTATTTAAAAACGGCGAGGGTCCCTGATTGGTGGGTGCTGCTGCTGGCGGGCACTTTCTGGAGGGCCCGGGTTAGTTACCTTATTTGGCTAGAATTTTAAACCCAATTGTTCCCGGATGTTTGTTCATTACCCTGTTCCAGGAACTGCAGATTTAGGGTTGGGTAATGCCCTAGCTGTAATTTTCCGAGCTGGGTATAACAAAACCTGGCGTGACATGGCTGGTTTCTCCACTGAGACTCTCACCAGGCTATTGGCCATCAAGGTATTGCCAGGCTGCAACCTAATCTTGCCAACAGCCACTCCAATTGCACCTGACAAAGAAAATCAGAGTAGAAATAACAGTTGTAATGGACTGTGAGCAAATTTTATACTTTTGCAAAATTTTCAAAATGAATAAGTTCGTTCCCTGAGGAGCCATACCAGAAACTCATCCAAATGAAATGTTCTGAAGTTTAACCTTCACTAGTTTCTGGGTAAACCCTATTCAGCACAGATGATAATATATTACATTGGCAGCCACACTGGGGTCCTCAACCTTGTCATCAAGGTTTCAGCCAATTTTGTCACCTTCTCCTAGTCCAGAGAAGGACCATTGGATACTGGAACAGCTGTGACAACATAAGAAAAACTGTTGACCTAGACCATGCTATCCTCAGAGAGTAAAGAATTTTTTCATTAAAAGGCTGGGGAGCTGGCTTAGATGGAGACAAGAGAGCACCACCCCCTGCCCCCAGGCCTCCTAGATCAGAGCCCCTGCCCCACACAGGAGGGGTACTTGGTGTGCCCCCCTCTCATGGCCCTGTGGTGCTGCCTCTGGAGCCTCCTCTGCTTCCCCACCACAGAGTAGCCCTGGCTCCACTGTGGAGTGTGGGGATCCTGCACTAAGAAAGAATATCATTTCTATGTAGAGATGGGTCGGGGACAGGGCCTCTCCCAAGTCCTTCCCAGACTGTGTCCTGCCCAAGAGCCAGAGGCTAGCCTGCTGCTTACTCTCCATGGTTACCTGATCTCCTTCTAAGTTTTCTGAGGATGATGATGATGCCCAAACAGAGGGACATAAATGGGATGAACCATGTAATCACGGCTTGCCCAGGCAAAAACTGTCTTTCATCCGGACTGCCGTCCCACCTTGAACTTCCCAGTGGGCTCTGCCGGCAGGTTCACAGAACTGCAGCCTCTGCGGGGCTCTCCCTTCACCAGCCACTCCCAGGTTGAGTTACTGTTGTGAGCCTTGAACTCCCCACAGCCAGTTCAGTCTGCAGCCCAGGGTCACTTCCACCACTGTCCCTGGGAGCCTGCCCCCTCCCCAGCTCACCCTGTTTTATTACCCAGTTCTTGGGGGTTCCGAAACACCAGTGCCTCCAGTATCTTCTCATCTGTGAAGTGACCCTAATCATTTCCTCCACCAAGTGACTGCTTGTCTCCATCCCCCAATGACATAACACTGAAGCCACTGCTCCAGGCCCACAGATCCTAGAGCAGGAGGGGCAGGGGGCATGTTTTTCCCAAGTGAGATCCTGGGGCTGGTGGTCAGGAAGGGCCCTCCCTCCCTCCCCTTTGGTCCCACACCCCCATTTCCCACCTGCCCAGGAGGCAGCTTTACATAAAGGCCATAGGTCAGGGCAGGAGGCTGCAAACCTTCTCTATAAAGGGTAAATAGCAAATTTTTGTCTGCACAGACCTCTTGATAACTGTCTCTGTAGGCACTGGGCACCTCCGTGGTTGTGGGAAAAGCAGCCAAAACAACATGCAAACAATTAGGGGACTAGACATGGCCGCTCTCCCTGTTTGCTCAGCCCAGAGTCAGGGTACATAGGGCGTCCCAGGTATGAGAGTGATCACTTCCCAAAGGAATCATCACCCTGGGCGCCATTATTGTTTGTTGAACAGCCCGAACCCGCCTTGTCCTGCCTGTGGCTTCTGATGGAGGGAATGTGGGAGGGAATGTGGTAGGGTGTGGGTCCCACTGGTGGGGCCTGTGCTCCCCTTCCTTGTGTGCACTGCTTCCTGGGTGGAAGGGGCGTGGGAGACAGTGCATGAAGCCATAGGTGTGAGCAGAGGGTGGTGCTGGTACATTGTGGGGTCAAGATGGGGGCCACCTGCTGCTCATCTCATTGTTCCCAGTGACCCTGCTCCTTTCTGTGCCAGAAAAGTCACCTCTGTCTTATGAGCACTCGGCCTGCCTTAGCTAATGACGCTCATGACGGGCAACTCTGATGTTTCACAGATGAAACTCATCTCTCCCAGGCCCTGTTTAAATGGTGTGGATTTCCCTGACATAGAGCACCTGCACCTGTGATTTGTCATCTCGACATTTGCCACCCCCATTACTGCTGGCAGCCATTTAGGGGAACACAGACTCACACCACCATCCTGGCCTTCAGCAAAAGGCATCACTGAGCTTTCTGAGAATTCTGGTGTCCTTCCCATCCGTGCTCTCCTCATAGGCTTGATAAACAAGAACTTCAGGCTTTCCCACGGTGCGTGGTTGATTGGACACTTTCCTGCCTTTTCATATTCTACCTTCCCCTGCGATATTCATTTCTCTGAACCAGCTGCCCCCTTCCTCTTCTACCTGCTCAGAAGTTCTGGCCGTTCTGCTCCATGCATGGTAGCTGTGCCTTTTGCCAGCCTTGCAAGACCCGTCCCAGCAGCAGGTGGGCGCCATCTCCCAGGGCTGTGCTAAATCAGGACCCACAATCCTGTACTCCCCCTTCTCCCACATTGAGATCTATCCATATCCCCCACCCCACTGTCACCCACCTTCCTCAAGACAGCCACCTACATGTCTCTTCATGTCCCTGCAAGGCCATAGCTAGTTCTTGTCAATCCTCTGGCATCTAGACCTTGCCCCCACAGCCACCTGCCAGGACCCTGGGTCGTTTATTGGCTAAGTCATGCTGGGTGTTGGCCTGGTGAACACAGAGAGGACACCTCTGGAGAAGTGCAGCTTCCCTCCAGGCGGAGGCCTCCTGCTCCTCCTCAAGTGAAGGGAGAGGCCAGGCAGGGTCAGTCCCTGCTCTGCCAGCCCAGCCATCAGGGGGATCGTCTTGCTGTCACAGAGATGGGGGGGTGTCTTGGGTTTTTTCTTCTAACCCAAACCTCACCAGCATTTTTTCTTCACAGATGCTCACTCTCTTCGCTATGAGATGAACATTACTTCTAACAATCAACCCCGTTGTGTGGGTCAGGGCCAAATGGATAGAGTGAACTTGCTGTTATTTGACTGTGACAACGAGGTCAAATATATGAATAATATGTTAAAGGACACAAAAACCTTGGAAGATATGACACAGAAGCTGAAAGACATGAGAGACTTGATGAAAGGGAAACTACTTGACATTACACCAGAGAAAAGAGGTAAGTTAGAAAAATCCAGGTGCAGAAGCAAGCAGATTGTGGGGTTCAATACATTTATTGTATTCACATAAAACAACAAAGTGTATGTTGGTCCTTCCCAGGTAGCCCAGTAGAAAGGGTGGGGAGAACAGGGCTGGATTAGAAGAGTTCAGAGGAGGCAGACACCAGGTGGGGCAAAGGATTTGTCGAGACCGGAGGCTGACATCTGTCCTGTGGGGACTGTGGGGCAGATTCTATCACCCTGCAGGTGAGGCTGGAGTGTCAGAGTGATGCCGATGGAATCTTCAGTGGATCTTTGGAGTTGGGTTTCAATGGACAGAGGTTCCTTGCCTTTGACGCAGAGAGTGGAAAGTATAAAGTGGATAATCCCAGAGATGAACTGATGAAAGAGAACTGGGAGAATGATGAGGAAGTGACCAAGTGCTTCAAAGTTTTCCTCCAGGGAGACTGCAAGGAATGGCTTAAATTCTTGGTGCACAAGAAGAAAGAGCTGGAGACAACAGGTAGCAGGGAAGATGTGGGCGGAGTGGTCACTCTACTGAGATAAGATTGACATACTGTTGTGTGAATGGGTACATGTGTGTGACTGAGTATGCACATATGTATGAGTGTGTGGATCTTTGTCTGTGTGCACGTGCAGTAAGGTTGTCATTGCTTGTGTGTGTACATGTCGAGCATCTGAGTGTGGGGCTGGGCATGTGTTTGTGTGCATGTGAATGGGTGTGCTGTGTATTTGTGTACTCATGTGAGTGTATGTTTGAAAAAGAATCATCCATGGTAAATTCTTTGGAGGATAAGAGCTGCAGGCGTGCCCCACGTCCCTCCTTTCCCCTCTCTCCTC